GTCCGATTCCATTTCTGGTCAATGCAAACCCCCCAAGGTATTGATAGTTGTGAATTCGGCAATGAAATAGTGTGATTGAAAATCAAATGGTGATTTAATTCCCTCTTGTTGGTGATGGTCATTGGCTGGTACTCGTGTGCTAAGATTGTGACTTGCCACTTGTCAACCCAAGCCTGGATATTGTCCAGATGCTGCTGCACTGGAGATGGACAGCATCAGTATCTGAGGAGTCCCAAATAATGTTGACCATCATCACTGAACATCTCTATTTCTGCTTGTTTTTTATTTATTCATTTTGTGGGATGTGGGCGTCGCTGGCTGGCCAGCATTTATCGTCCATCCCTAGTTGCCCTTGAAAAGGTCGTGGTGAGCTGCCTTCGTGAGCCGCTGCAGTCCACCTGTTGTGGGTTGGCCCACAATGCCATTAGGGAGGGAATTCCAGGATTTTGACCCAGCAACAGTGAAGGAACGTCGATATATTTCCAAGTCAGGATGGTGAGTGGCTTGGAGAGGATCTTGAAGGTGGTGGTGTTCCCATATATCTGCTGTCCTTGTCCCTCTAGATGGAAGTGGTCGTGCGTTTGGAAGGTGCTGTCTGAGATTCTTTAGTGTATTCCTGCAGTGCATCTTGTAGATAGTACACACTGGTGCTATTGAGTGTCAGTGGTGGAGGGAGTGGATGCTTGTGGATACAGTGCCAATCACGCTGGCTGCTTTGTCCTGGATGGTGTCAAGCTTCTTGATTCTTAGTGCTGCACTCATCCAAGCCAGTGGGGAGTATTCCATCACACTCCTGACTTGTGCTTTGTAGATAATGAACAGGATTTCGGGTGTCAGGAGGTGAGTTACTGTCTGCGGTATTCCTAGTCTCTGACCTGCTCTTATAGCTATTGTGTTTATGTAGTGAGTCCAGTTAAGTTTCTGATCAACGATAACTCCCAAAATGTTGATAGTGGGGGAATTCAGTGAAGGTTAACCCCATAGAATGTCAAGGGGCAATGGTTAGATTGTCCCTTGTTGGTGATGGTCATAGCCTGGCATTTATGTGGCATGAATGTTACTTGCCACTTGTTAGCCCAAGCTAGGATATTGTCCAGATCTTGTTGCATTTGAACGCAGATTGCTTCAGTATCTGAGGAGTCACGAATGGTGCTGAACATTGTGCAATTATTGGCAAACATCACCACTTCTGACTTTATGATGGAGGGAAGGTCATTGGTGAAGCAGCTGAAGATGGTTGGGCCTAGGTCACTATCCTGAGGAACCCCTGCAGAGATGTCGTGGAGCTAAGGTGACTGACCTCCAACAATCACAATCATCTTCCTATGTGTCAAGTATAATTCTAACCACTGGAGAGATTTCCCCTGATACCCATTGATTCCAGTTTTGCTAGGGCTCCGTGATGCCACAGTTGGTGATGTCAAGGGCTGCCACTCTCACCTCACCTCTGGAATTCAGTTCTTTTGTCCATGTTTGAACCAAGGTTGTAATGAGGTCAGGATCTGAGTACCTGGCAGTACCCAAACTGTGCGTCACTAAGCAGGTTATAGCTGAGCAGGTACTGCTTGATAGCACGGTTGATGACACCTTCGATCATTTTGCTGATGATTGAATGTAGACTGATGGGACGGTAATTGGCTGGGTTGGATTTGTCCTGCTTTTTATGTACAGGACATACTTGGGCAATTTTCCACATTGTCGTGTAGATGCCAGTGTTGTAACTGTACTGGAACAACTTGGCCAGGGGAGTGGCAAGTTCTGGAGCACAAATCTTCATTACTGAATGTTGCCAGGGCCCATAGTCTTTGCAGTATCCAGTGTCTCCAACTGTTTCTTGATATCACGTGGAGTGAATCGAATTGGCTGAAGACTGGTATCTGAAATGTTGGGCACCATTGGAGGAGACCGAAATGGATCATCCACTCGGTACTTCTGGCTGAAGATTGCTTCAACCTTATCATTTGCACTGATGAGATGGGCTCTTCATTGAGGATGGGGTTATTTTGTTGGCGGGAATGACATTAATGAAGCAGCTGAAGTTAGTTAGTTCTAAGACACTATCCTGAGGAACTCATCCAGTGATATAATGGACCAGCGTGACTGACCTCCAACAACAGCAACAATTCTCCTTTGTACTAAATATGACTCCAACCAACAGAGATTCTCCCCTGATTCCCATCAATTCCGGTTTTCCTAGGACTTCTTGACATCATACTCAGTCAATGCTGCCTTGATGTCAAGGGCAGTCACTCTAACCCCACCTCCGAAATTCTGCTCATTTATCCATATGTGAACCAACTTTATAAGGAGGTTGGAAGTCAAGTGACCCTGGCAGAACACAAACTAATGTCAGTGACTAGGTTATTGCTGAGCAAATGCTGCTTGTGATTCTCTGTCATATCTATTTTTAAGATCAGGTTAAGATAAAATGACTATGAAATCTCCAGGACACTTATCTCTGAGGCTTTTCTGACCTGAAAGGGGAGACCTAAACTGAATTGATAACATTTAAGAATGAATGGATACTATCAACTTCCAACACATTGTGATGGCTTACCTCATATAAACTAGACTTGGTGAATCGCAAAGCTACTAAGCCAGAACTCAATATCTTGGAATGAATATAAATACCACCCTATTTGGAAACACTTTGATCTTATGAAAAGCCACATGGAGAGACAGCATTTTTTTTTCGACTTTAAACATTGGCAGAAGATGGCAAATGGAATTTTCACCTTTATTGTTAAGGATTTGAAGTTTAAGAACAGGGAATTCTTGTTACATCCATACAGGGTGTTGGTGAGGCTACACCTGGAGTACTTGTACAGTTTTAGTCTCCATATTTACAAAAGAATACATCGATATTGGAAGCAGTTCAAAAGAGATTCACTGAGCTGATTGCTGGTATGAAGAGGTTGACTTATTAAAAACAGTTAAATAGGTTAGGCCTTTATTCATTTGATTACAGAAGTATGTGAGCCAATTGAAATATACAAAGTTCTGGGGAGCTTGATAGGGTAGATGTTGAGCAGGATTTTCCATCTATAAGGGAATCTTGAACTAGGGGACATAGTTAGAAAACGAAGGGCCATTCATTTAAAACTGAGATGAAAAGGAATTTATTTCTCCCACAGGTAGTAAATGTCTGGAATTCTCTGCCCAAGAGGGTTGTGGAGATCAATGAAAGTATTGAAAGAGGAAATAGGCAGATTTTTAAAATATCAAGCAGTTGATGACTATGCTGAGCTGGCAGAAAAGTAGAGTTAAGGCCTGGGATGGATCAACCATGATTGTGCTAAACGGAGGGACACGTTTAGGGGTTAATCGTCTTACTCCCCTTTCTGTTGTCTTTGTTAAAAACTGTTTTGCAGACAGTTCCATCAGACTGAAAATCACCAAACTAACAGTTCAATGCTCAGAAAGCTAGACCAAGAACTAATTTCAAGTCAGCAAGTAGCAAAGTTAATTAACATCAATAGCTTGAAAGCAGGGGATCCCAACAGAGAGAGTTCCAACGTCAAATTCAACTGCGAACCAACCTCCTTAAAATGCAACTACAATAACCTCACAGTCTGCTGAGAACCTTTCGCTTTACAAGAACCTCATTGTAAATAATCAAACCCATCCAAGAAAGTAGATGCCTATGTCATGGGAGACTAGAGATTGCATATCAGAGACTGCAATAATTATAAACTGTAACAGTAAGTTATCCTCACCTGTATCCAATCTTGGTGTGTGCGAGAGATAACAAGGTGTAGAGTTGGATGAACACAGCAGGCCAGGCAGCATCAGAGGAGCAGGAAAGCTGACATTTCAGGTCTGGGCCCTTCTTCATTTTCTGAAGAAGGATCCAGACCCGAAACGTCAGCTTTCCTGCTCCTTTGATGCTGCCTGGCCTGCTATGTTCATCCAGCTCTATACCTTGTTATCTCAGATTCTCCAGCATTGGCAGTTCCTACCATCTCTTGGTGTGTGCCAGAGTGTGTGAGATACTGCATTTAAATCAGGTTAAGGGTGTGCGAATAAAGAACTGCCTTTATTTTAAAACTCAAAAAGTTTGCTGCTGGAGTTATGTAATCAGGAAACACGCACTCTGAGTAAGTGAAAATACCTCTTTCATCATCAAAGATACTGATCACAGACATCAAGGGCACACATGCATTCTGTCCATGACATAATATTTAACAATATAATGAGCTCAGATTTTTTGAAACTCTTTAAAATATCTGATTGCAATGTTGTTGTTCACAGTACTATTTTGTATGTGTTTCAGCACACTGGATTTATAATTTAAACCAGCGAAAAGGGTACTTAAGGTTCTGGCAGAATCAACATTACTGTTGAATAAATCAAAATCTCACTGTTGACACCTTGTAAAAGACCAAGTGAAGGACTGTCATGGGAAGGATTGACACGCTTTCAGTCCTTGTGCAGAATGGTTCAGTCAATGACACTCATAAAAGAATTACCATAATCCCATGTTACTGATAAGATATCTTCTGTTACTTTCATTGTGTCTCATTGTGAAGCTGTACATTGTTTGAAAATACAACAGTCTGATTGACTGGACAATGTGCTGTCATGGTCGATTACAGACTATCAGGACTAATTGAGGATGTCTCTTGGAAGACTCTAGCACAACATGGGTCATCAGCTGATGTTTCCTTTCAACATGTCATCGGCGGAAGTGGAGAACTTTATGCTATTGATCACTGACTCAATCAATCAATGTCTGAGCCAGAACAACAAATTATGAAAGTGGATGACAAATCCAAAAGTTAAATGTACAATACTAACTAAAAATATAATTGAAAAGCAATGATGAACTCACTGTAAACTACACTACAGAATTGTAGATGGTACCATAACCAAAAGCTTTTGCCTTCAATTGACTTATATGTCCCTAATCTCCAATTTATTAAAAAATAATGTATTATTACATACAAATTTTATCAATGATAAGTATAAATTACTAACAGTTTTCATGTTATTGTTTTCAGCCATTTCAATGGTTCAATACTTTAATTGACCCACCGTGTGGATACTTGTGTAGTTTGGAATCTGAGTGCAGTTCTGATATTTAATGAAGCCTTGCTGCTTCATAAGCCTGACAGCAGCTCCACTGTAAGTATTATGCAGTAAATTTAACAATGAAACATACATTACGGATAAAACAAACATACTGTCACCTAGAAATGAATCTGGCTTTCTTTTCAGGTCCAAACTCAACTAGGCTGATTCAGTCTGTGTCTAAACTAAGAGCTTAAAGGAACAATGGAAACTGATGATAGCTTGCTCAAGTGATAAAGTATCAGGCTACCAATCTCACAGGCAGTGGCCTTCGAGTAGATCCAGTGACTGTGGAACTTCAATAGCCTATGAAATGTGGATGTGGGGTGCAGTCATGACACCTGTGGAGTCTGTGAAAGTTCTGAGCAGACTGTGTTCCTCCAGGCTCCACAAGGTGTTCTTCTTTTAGCAAAATTCTTTTCTAATTAGTCACCCAGAGTTAATGATCCTAAAGGACACTAATGATTCCCTCCTGGCAAATCAACAATGAGTTCCTCAATGCAATCTTGCAGGAGCCTATTTTACACATAGTGAACATTCTTACCTCCATCTTTTATATGGTTGCAAAGTAGAACTGCAATTGTCTGTCTCTCTGTCTGATAATCTAATTAACTCACTGTTCCTTCCTGCAGGATCTACCAACAGGAACAACTGATCTTCATTGGGTAGTTGTCAAGTTATCAATGTTACTGAAATAACTCCACAGAGACTGATATCCTGTCACCAAGTCACCCTTTGTTTACACGTGCACAGCACTTGGACTCTGACCATCTAGCTGAGGGCCAGTCCCTAGGGTAAGGAGAATCCATGACACTCCTGTTTACATCTGTCAGCCATGACTCCCTGATTGGCCCAGGTTACCAACACCAATCAGGGAACTCATACTCAATGAGATTCAATTGGCATACCACGTTCCAATCACTAAAGTTACCTTTAATATATAGCTGTTGTCTATAGTCTTTTTTTTAATTGCACTGTCTCTTGAAATTATTTTGTGTCATGGCATCCACGTGTTGGTTAGTGTGGAATGAGATTTTCATAATACTTTCTGAGTTGCTGATTAATCGCACACATGGTTTAGTGGTAAAGTTGTAGGTAATACAGCTTTCTCTAATTCATACACAGGATGTAGCCATCACTGGCTGGGCCAACAATTATTATTTGCCAATGAGAATGAGGTGGTGAGCTGTCTTCTTGAACTGCTGCTGCCCATTTAGTATAGGTGCACCCACAATACCATTAGGGGGGGAGTTCCAGGATTTTGATCTAGCGACACCAAAGAAATGGCAATATAGTTCCAGGTCAGGATGGTGAGTGGCCTGGAAGGGAATTTGCAGGCGGTGGTGCTTCCATATACCTGCTGTTCATGTGCTTTGAGGTTGTAGAGGCTGTGTGTTTGGAAGGTGCAGTGAAAAAGACTTGTTGAATTCTAACAGCGCATTCTTACATTATGTTGCATTATTGTACAGATTCTAGACCAGTCAGTTAGAAAACATTATAACATATGACGTTTCACTATAAGAGGTTGGCCCTTGGTCAGCTTCAATAGCCATTAGTACCATTAGTATTGTTGCTACTGAGGTTTGTTCTACAAAGTCAGTAAGCACAGAACCAAGACCATATATAAATCTGATATCTTATAACAATCTATATAGTTTTGGTTGTTAATAAACTTCAAGATATCTATCTCAGCAAGAACTCAATCTACTGAATATATGTTGCGAGAGCTAACATATAGGGAACTGCTCAAGCCAGTACCATCTGGTAGTGGTATTTGACTCAAGAAAATCCATCATGGTGGCAGCAAGTGGACACCAGAAGTTGGTGACAGCTAGTCATTACTAAATGCTGAGAAAAACGATAGCAGTAGTGGTAGATGTGTAGAGGTATTTTTTATCTGAACCTTCACCCATCATCCACCGTCTTCAGAGTTAAAGCTCACATCAGAAAACCAAGAGAGAAGCACATCAATCTTTTTCGAGAAGGAACAATTGTGAGTACACCTTCTCTCTATATCTTCTGAAATGATAAGCACAGTGTGTCTAACTCAACAAATAGCAGTTTTCCATGAGGTCCAGGGCAGCTCCAATCTGGCAAATCAATCCTTGGATGAAAGCACAGACAAAAATAGTGGAAAATATGTTCTATGTATTATAAAATTGCTACCTGTATTCAGATGTCAGTCAATTCCATCACTTTCCTTTTTCAGAAATGGTTTGGACATACATTGTATACATTACATTATATAAATATATCATTCTGATTTTTTTTGGGTGTGAACATCACATCTAGGCACTGCTCAACTATTTTAAAGTAGCAACTTCTAAAGCAACACAATAAAAGAGAGAAATTTAACTCAGGAAATTTAAATTTCAAAAGTGTCTGTATTACACTAAAAGAGTCCATTAAAGTTGAAGAATTCAAATGTTTCTGACTCACTGAAGATTAATAGTGACCCAGGAAAATTTAAAGGGTTAAAAACTTACTCTGATTCTTGACTAACTATCAAGCTGTCCCCTAGCTCATCACTAATCAGCATCTCTCATTCCCCAACTAAATTTCTCTCAATACCTGACACCCACTGAAGTGACAGCTCACACCTCCTGACCTAACACTCCTCTCAATCTGGCTGAAACAGACATTCACCCACCCCCAATGATGGTAATACCATTGAATGTAAAAGGGCAGCAGCTAAATTGTGTGTTATTGCCTGGCATTTGTGTGGCACAAGTGCTATTGCCATTCTTCAGCTCAAGCCTGGATATTGGCCAGGTTTTCCAGCCTTTGGACATAGACTGCTTCAATATCTGAGGAGTCATGAATGGTGTTGAACATTGGGCAATCATCAGTGATCACCTCCACTTCTGACGTTATGACGGATGGAAGGTCATTGATGAAGAAGCTGAAGTCAGTTGGGCTTAGGATGCTACCCTGAGGAACTCCTGCAGAATTGACATGGAGCTGAGATGACTGACCTCCAACAACCACATCATCTTTCTTTGTGCCAGGTATGCCAGTTAATGTGTAGGGCTAACTTATCTGAACTGGTCACGTTCTTTTAAAAGAAATGGTGGGCAGTTATATTTTTGTACAGCTCCAGACTAGCCAGATAATGTGCTCTTAAAACAGTTAGATAAGATCACAACATGTGACTTTCCGGTATAAAAGGTATTCACCTCAGTAACCACTTGTTTGTTATTATTGTTGTTATTGCAGTTGCTGTATATTTGTTGCATGTAAGAACATACTGTAAGTACAGAAACCAGCCAAATGTAAATCTGAGATCTTATAACAGTGTAAGTAGTTAATGTTGTAAACAAACTTCAAGACATCTGATTTAACAAGAACCCGGTCTTTGTAGCTTATGTTCCATGGGCTAATAAATGAGAAAGCTCTCAGACCACATTATACTGGCAGTGGTATTTGATCAAAGAAACTATGTCAGTTTATCACAGAAGTTGACTGTAGACCTGTCTTTCTCTCCCTCTATCTTTCTCTATGCTTTATGCATTTTCTACACATTGTCTGAAGAAGCTAGGAATCTCCATAATCATAACAAAAGGTGACAGAGGGATTTCTAGCCCCAGACCCAAGGCAAATAAATAGGTCATAATGAGGAAATATTTTTGCAAGCATTTCTACCATGTAATGATTAAGTTTATGAGTTCATTTTTCATGTAATTGTCTTAACCTATATGCATTATGCTTGCTGGTCTTGAGAAGAAAGTTATGGCTTAAATTGTCCCCTTTAGTTTCATGTGGAGTGGCGTTGTTTGGAAAATGGGGTGAGTCTGTAAACAAACTTATGTGATGTGCTCATTATAGAGACAGAAACTCAAGTTGAAACTTATGGGAAGTTAGATTGTGAGTCAATGCGGCCTGCTACTTCCTTTGGTCAAGGTATTCAAATTTAAATCTGTCAGTCAGAACGAGGAATTTGAAGAAAAAGACTCTTTCTGTATGAACCTCCAAGATCTAACAGCAGTTCACAAAGTCTGGACTTTCCAATGGCTAGCAGGTCGTTCTACCAGTGTAATGGGAGTTGCATTTAGGAACTCTACATAATCCCAATCGCAGCAAACTAACATGGAACTGGCCAGGAAATTAGAGATTCACAGGGCAATTCCTCTTGTTCTGTGTAAGTAAGGAATGCCTTAGGCTTTTTTTTCTTACAACTGCAGGGAATGCCAAACTTGCGATGTTTGTCTGTTGAACAAGCAAAGTCTACAGAAATGTTTCAGTAACTGTGTATGTACATCAAGATTTTTTATGATCAAAGTATTTTTTTGCAAAACAAAACTCCTCTCTGACTGAAACCTCTGTAAGTCTTCATTTAAATCAAGACTTCAGAGTGTTCTGATTAATTTAAATGAGAGTTGTTCAGGAAAACGATTAGATTATAGAATATGTACTCTAACTCCTGAGTAATTGACAAAGTGACCACGCACGCACGCACACACACACAAACTCTCTCTCTCTCTCACAATGCTCCCCTAGACCCTTCACACATCCCCCTGAGATCTTGACCTGACATGCCCCCGAGAACTGACCCCAACCCCTCAACCTTCGAGATCTCATAACTCCATGGGACTTGACACTCCCAACCCAATTCCCCCGACTGATTGATCAGTTTCAGTACAGCTAGCCCATTCTCACCCACTCTTAATCCTATTTTCACATTATATGGGTTGCTTTCAGAATATCCCATTCATTCTTTCCGACTCTTAGCCCTCATTATCACTTGATCAACTTCTCTTCTGTCCTGGTCTACTATTATAATCCTGTTGTCTGCCTATCCCTTCCATATCTCCCTCTGGGGTCCATCTCCATCTATCTGCTCATTTCTCTCCCCCCACCATCCCAACCCTGTCTTCACCATAAATACCACTTGTTTCCTAGCTGCTATCAGTTTTGATGAAGAGTCACCAGAGTTGAAATGTTAACTCTGCTTTCTCTCCACACATACTGTCTGAGCTGCTGAGTTTCTGCAACAATTTCTGGTTTTGTTTTAGATCTCCATCATCCACAGTTCTTTGTTTGATATTATTTTAAAAGACTTGTCTAATGAGGCAAATGTTCAAATAAATACATTGGAAATAGAATATTTCCTGCTTTTAATTTGTGTGGCTGTTAGATTTTAACTAAAATGAGTGTGTTATGCTCGGCTGTTCTAGGCAGGGCAGAGTAAAATGTTGTTTGTTTTTCTTCCTGTTGCTATGAATCACGGAGTCTCACAGCACAGAACGAGACCAATCAACTTGTCTTACCTGCGCCAGCACTCTGAACAAAATGGATTTGCTCTAGTGGTGTGATTTTTCTCTATAATTTGGAAGAAAAAAATCTTTTTAGGGATTTATACATATGTTTCCCTTTAGCAAGTTATTCTTAAATCTGTTTCTATATATTTTCAAGCAATACATTCCTGGTCATGAAACTCACTGAGTAAATCAGTTCTCCAAATCTCATGCTTGGCATTTCTTTGCCAATTGTTTTAAATATCTACCCTTAGGTTATCAGCCCTACTGCCAATGAAAACAATTCCCCCCTTTAGAATTACTCAATCAAAACCACTCAATATTTTCAACATTTCTATTAGCTTTATCCTTCTCTGCTCCAAGAAAGAGAATCCCAGTTTCTCCAAATTGTCTTCATTCCTGTACCATTCTAAAAAAAATCCCCTTTTCACCCCCTCTAAAGCCTTGATGTCCTTCATAAAATGTGATCCCCATACAATGCTCTCAAACTGATTTTTATGATACGTAAAGGTTTATTGCTTTGTTTGGATTGAATTATTTTAAAGTCCACAATGCTTGGTATTTTGTAGTCTGTGAGTAACCTAAGACAGGGGCTCAGATATGCTTTGAGTGCTGAAACACCATTACAATATACATGTTGGACAAGAGCTGG